CCCTTTATACAAGATTTGCGTGCCACTACAGGACCTTGGTTGCAACAATGATCTATATGGTCCCAGATTATATCAATAACGTCACAGGTATGCCCCAATTCCAGCCCCTTCCCCAAGGCCTCACCCCGCCTCTTTTCCTCCTCCTCTCCGGAGCGGCGTGCTGCGGTTCCCTCCTTCCCCCTCCTGCGGGCAAGGCTGATCCAGGTGATCGGAGGCGGGGCGGGAGGGAACGTAGCACACTGGGGAAAGGGGCGGGGCAGGAGTGATGCTGCAGGCAGAGGCTGCCACGGAGCCCCAGCAGCGGCAGAGTCAAGGTTCTCTGACCCCACAGGAGAGAGTGGGGGTGGAGAAGAGAGCGCCAGGGCCCCTTTCAACTGTGGGCCCGGCGCTATGGCGCCGCGCCATTGTAAATCCAGTATTGAGCGCCACCCTAGTGCCCAAGGTCCAGCTCCTAGATCAGCCCGACCTAGCGCTTTCTCTCTCCTTTCAGACATTGATGAGTGCCAGAGAAACGCCACAATCTGTGAGCCCCATGGGAACTGCATCAACATGCCAGGGAGTTACATGTGTAAATGCAGTTGGGGATTTGGGAAGAATCAAAAGGATACGTCTAAGGTCTGCACAGGTACAATGGGAGCTGGAAAGAGTCATGGCAAAGGCATGATGTTTCCGACTTTTCTGCAATGTAGCTAACGTGTGGCGTTGCCTTAAAGCCCCACCTCCAGGAGTCATGTGATTCCGCTTTTGGCTAAAATCAAAATTAGGGCCTGGCCCACCTGATGGAGGAAAAACTGCCAAACTTTACACTGTGGTGACCGACAGCTCCCAAACCAAAGTCAAACAAAACGAAGCCAAAACGGATTTTTTTTTAAATCTCGTGATTTTGAAACCAATCTCGTGACTTTTTTGCAGCCTGGCTCACGGTTTGGGGCTTTTATTGATTGCTTGGCATTGGCAATGATGTTAAGGCACAGCCACTGAGCTTACCCAGGATCTCTGAAACTAACCCCATGCCTGGATGGGGGCAAAGTGTCTGTTCTGACTCCCAGCCTGTCTTACAAACTGGATACTGAGCCTGGGGACTGGAGGTCGCCATGTCTCTTGCCATGCCGCTTAATTCCACCAAATTGAGCGTAGGGCATTGGGGATGTCATTAGAAGCTGCAACATCCCCCCAAAGCTGCCACTGCAATCAGAGCCCAAGATGCTCTTTCATACCAGAGCTTTGAGGTGGGGGCAGGTCAGGTCTTTGCAAAGCAAACTGGGCTGAAATGGAGCCGAGGACTCTGTGTTGGACAACCTTTAATACAGCTTGGGCTCAACAAGCCCACAAGTTGCTGAAACCCCATTAACCGAACCCTCAGCAGCTGCTAAGGCTGGGGAAGGAGCTGGCATCACAAAAGAAGCAGCTTGGGTCATTAGCAGGAATCAAACCCAGGACCTGGCTGCTGAAAGCACACAGCTCAGCTGCTAGAGTTAAGGGAGTAACTCCGTTAGCCAGTCATTGTAGCAGGCTGTTATCTACTTATGGGAACCAGCCACTAGACCAGGACAAACTTGCTCTCTCCTGGTTCCATGGCTCAGCGGCTTTCCCTAGAGGCTGGCATATACTAGCCCCCTCACAGGCATGGCGTAGGCCTGTTGCCTTCCAAGAGATTTAACAATGGAGCAAAAGTTTGAGTTTCCTGCCAAAGAAACAAGGGATTTTTTCCAGCCTTGATGCATTCCCAGCCGTGAGCGAGGAGACACAAAGCTCCTCTCAGTGAGGGGGAGCAGAGAGTAAAAGCTGCCTGGTGAGACAGGGGAGACACATTCTTGGCCTTCTATGGCAGAAGCAAGCTGAAAGAGACAGGTCTAGTGGGTTGGGTATGAGACTCGGACTCAGGAAACTTGGGTTCTAGTCCCAGCTCTGTTACTGCTGGGTATCCTTGGGCAATTCCCTGCCTCAGTTTTCTCTCCCACCTCTTCCCCATTTAGACTAGAAGCTCTATATGGCATTGTGTGTGCAGCACCCTGGGTGCTGCTTCTATGCAAATAACGACCAAGGGGAAGGGGCATAGTGGGAAATAGCAAAACGCTGTCACAGGAAAGAGAGAGAAGGGGAGTCTGAGAAAGAGCTGCTGGAGCACGGCCCAAGGGAAGGATCTGTGAGCACTATTGACTCTCCCCGCTGATTGACTTGTTTGTTGATATCCAGGCGAAGAGCATTTTAGCCACAAGGATTTCTGTGCGAAGCAAAAGTGTTATGAATAAATACTGGGGAGAGCTTAGCGAATGGAATGAGTGCATCTCTGCACGTACAGGCCGTGCCCCGTGGTAGAAACCCCACTCCCTGCATGGAGTGAGTGACCCTGCTGCACCACGGAGCACCGACATCCCCGCTGTATCCCCTTTGCCTAGCAGCTGGCGCTACCCGCATTGGCAGCCAGGCAGGTGCACGACCCTCCAGTGTTTGGCTAGATCACGGCAGGGCTCTCTGCCGTCTGGCCAGGTCATGCTGTGATCCCCATTCTGGGGGAGCCTTTCAAAGTGAAACCCCTCCCTCCTATGCCTGCTAGCGAAACCCATCCTCCAGGGCTCCTACCCCCCACTTGGGGCTTCCTAGCCCCACTTGCCTCAGGCCCCCACCACTGGGCCCAGCCCTCGGCCTGTATAGAAGCTCCACCTATCCCTTCCCAGGCGAGCTTCCTTCTAGCTAGCACCCTGCACGCAGCCTAAGTCACTTCCCCTTTGCCGCTTAACTGGCTGATTGGGCCCCCACCTTAACCTCGCTCTGTCAGGGCTGGTGCAGGGAGGAGATGGCAGGGTCCTGGTCTGGAAAAGGTTGGGTCCCCTGATCTGGAGGGTGGGGGAGGGGTTGCACCATATGGATTAGGGCCCTGCAAATAGTAGGGAAGAAAGGAGAATAGAATGGGTGGGGGGATTAGATGGAGCAGACAGACTGACGAACAGACCACACCCTCTGTAATTGGTGGGGGGGTGCATCCATGGTCATTCACCCCCTAATGTGCCCCCACTCATGCTGTGTGTGATGACCCCCCCCCCCCACTTTCCCCTCTCAGACATCGACGAGTGCCACAAGACCCCAGAAATCTGCAGCCCCAATGTCATGTGTATGAACACCTACGGAAGCTACTGGTGTGAGTGCCGGGCCGGTTATGTCCCCTCCAATGGGAACACGACCCTGTGCCAAGGTGGGTCCTGCCTCGGGGGGCATGGAGCGGGATGCTGGAGGGTCTGGGCAGGGTCTGGGGTTACACAGGCAGAAGTCTTGCCCGAGGGGGCAGTGAGCTGGGAACTGGTCTGGGACGGTGCGCCAGCCCCCCTGTGCCCCATGGACGGGGTCCCTCTGGGTCTCAGCCCTGACTCGGGGGAGCTCAGCCTCCCCCCCAGCCCAGCCTGTCCATCCACTGGGGTGTTTCCGGTTGTCTCAGAGCCACAGCCACCAGCATGCCTATGTCTGGCACTGGGAGCAGAGCAGGAGCCGAGGGTCGGGGGGGGGGGAAGTGAGCAGGGCTGCCAGGGGCTGGGCATCTCTCCCTCCCCCCACCCCCCAGCGATGCCTGCATTCCTGCTGCATGGCTGGATTCTCTGCCCTGGGAAGATGGCAGCAGGAGGCGCAGTCTGTTCCTAGAGGCCACTGTGGGGCCAGCCTGGAGCTCCCTGCTGGATTTTCTCTCCCCCCGCCCGCCCCCAAAACACACACCAGAACCATGCACAGCTGGGGGAGATGGTTGAGGGGAGATATGGCTGGGATGATTCCACAGCCCCCGCCCCACCCCACTGCGGCTCAGTCCCCCTAGGACGGGGAGGGGGGAGGGTTCCTTTTACAGAGACCAGCTTGTGGGCAGAGCATGGGGAGAAGGGCTGCACACATGTGTGGGGCTGAGTGTGTGTGTATGTGGGGGGGGGTCACTGCTCCTCCTGCTGGGAGAGGATCTATTACACCCATTTCACTGACATGGGCTGGGTGTGTCCCTCCTCGGGGGAATGGGGGGGCCTGCTGCTGCCCCCTGCTGGAGGGAATGAGTCCTGCACTGTGTGCCTGGCTCTGGTGCATGCACCTACCCAGCCAGACCCCGCATTTCCCCCACCCATCTCTCACTCCTCCTCCCTTTCCATCCCCAGAGCTCACCTGCCCCCCGCTGCTGGATGATGACAACTCTGCCGAAGCCAAGGTGAGTGGGGCACAGACCCCGGGGGGAGGGGATAGACCCTGATTCCCCTTTACGTGCCACGTTGCTTTTCACTAATCTTGCCCCACGAGGATTCTGGGGCCAAACTCACCCCTGGGCAAAGAGCCAGTGGCCAGTCCCTGGAGCCCCTGCAGTCCAGCCACGGCCTAGGCCTTTGCCCCGGGGAGATTCTCACCCTGAGGATCAGCAACATCAGGCTGCTGCAACTCGCTTCAGCTTGCAACCGCCGTCCCCCACCATCCCTTGCAAACGCCGTGCACCGCCTAGGGGCCAGACGGGGCATTGCCCACGCTCCCTCTGGCGCCTGGCTTCTGAGCCGAGGGAGCCTCTCGGGACGGGGGGAGGTGGGCTGCGATTCTGTGATCTATTTTCCTGAGCCAGGCCTGGGGCTTGTTTTGCAGAACCTCCTGGGCAGCTTCCAGGCACAGGTGGGACGTCTCTGCAAGGCGGCGCTGGAGGAGCTGAAGCAGATGAACTCTCAGAACGCCGAGGGGAAGCTGCAGGTGCCAAGCCAAAATTCAGGGCCCTGTTGGGTTTGTTCCTGTTAGGGGGAGGCCTCACCTGGAGTACTGTGTCCAGTTTTGGGCCCCACACTACAAGAAGGATGTGGAAAAATTGGAAAGAGTCCAGCGGAGGGCAACAAAAATGATTAGGGGTCTGGAGCACATGAGTTATGAGGAGTGGCTGAGGGAACTGGGATTGTTTAGTCTGCGAAGAGAAGAATGAGGGGGGATTTGATAGCTGCTTTCAACTACCTGAAGGGGGGTTCCAAAGAGGATGGATCTAGACTGTTCTCAGTGGTACCAGATGACAGAACAAGGAGTAATGGTCTCAAGTTGCAGTGGGGGAGGTTTAGGTTGGATATTAGGAAAAACTTTTTCACTAGGAGGGTGGTGAAGCACTGGAATGGGTTACCTAGCGAGGTGGTGGAATCTCCTTCCTTAGAGGTTTTTAAGGTCAGGCTTGAAAAGCCCTGGCTGGGATGATTTAGTTGGGAATTGGTCCTGCTTTGAGCAGGGGGTTGGACTAGATGACT